GTGATTGTCCGGGGGAGGGCTTGACTGTCCGAGGAGAGGGGTGATTGTCCGGGGGAGGAGCGATTGTCTGGGGAGGGGTGACTGTCCGGGGGGGGGGGATTGTCCAGGGAAGGGGGGATTGTCCGGGGAGATTTATACATCGGCTACGTATGTCAGAAATCGAAACGAAGAATCAGCCGTTTTTATATTTTCAAAATTGGATCGACCGCCTGTGTGAAAATGGGTGAACGATGTGAAATATCTACTGTTAGTACTTACTGCGACATGTCCATGACTAACTGACACACTAAATTGGTAAAATGTTCCATCGCACCTTGAGAAATTCTGAGAAATTACGAGGTTACCATCGCAGAACGCAGGCGAACATCGCTCAACAAAGGCGCGCCTTACAAATAAGGTGTGTTGCGAGGTGTGAGAACCATTTTGGGCGTGGGATACTTGTTGGATCACTAGCCAGATGTACATAAATTTTATATGAATGTGTTGGTGACTGTCCGGGGAGAGGGGCGATTGTCCAGGGAGGGGGCGATGGTCCGGGGGGGTGACTGTCCGGGGAGAGGGGTGATTGTCCGGGGGAGGGGTGATTGTCCGGGGGAGGGGCGATTGTCCGGGGGAGGGTGACTGTCCAAGGGAGGGGTGACTGTCCTGGGCGAGGGGGTGATTGTCCGGGGAGGCGGGTGATTGTCTGGGGGAGGGGGCGATAGTCCGGGGAGGGGTGACTGTCCAAGGGAGGGTGACTGTCGCTGGAGGGGTGATTGTCCGCCGGGGAGGGCGTGGTATGTGCGGGGGAGGGGCGATGAGTCCGGGGGACGGGTGATGTCCAGGGAGAGGGGTGACTGTCCGGGGAGAGGGGTGACTGTCCGGGGAGAGGGGCGATTGTCCGGGGGAGAGGGTGATTGTCCGGGGAGGGTGACTGTCCAGGGAGAGGGGTGACTGTCCGGGAGAGGGGTGACTGTCTGGGGAGAGGGTGATTGTGCGGGGAAGGGGTGACTGTCCGGGGAGAGGGGTGACTGTCCGGAGAGGGGTGACTGTCCGGGAGAGGGGCGATTGTCTGGGGTAGGGGTGACTGTCCGGGAGAGGGGTGACTGTCCGGGGGAGGGGGCGATTGTCTGGGAGGGGTGACTGTCCGGAGAGGGTGACTGTCCGGGGAGAGGGGTGACTGTCCGGGGCGAGGGTGATTGTCCGGGGGGGGCGATTGTCCAGGGGAGGGTGACTGTGTCTTGGGAGAGGGCGCATTGTCCGAGGGAGGTGACTGTCCGGGGGGGGGGGAGGGGTGACTTGTCCGGGAGAGGGGTGGACTGTCGGGGAGAGGCGGTGATTGTCCGGGGGAGGGGTGACTGTCCGGAAAAGGAGGATTGTTCGGGGGAGGGGCTGATTCCGGGGGAGGGGTGATTGTCCGGCGGAGAGGGTGACTGTCCGGGGAGAGGGGTGACTGTCCGGGAGAGGGCGACTGTCCGGGGAGAGGGCGATTGTCCGAGGAGGTGACTGTCCAGGGAGAGGGGCGATTGTCGCGGGCGATGAGGTGACTGTCGGGAGGGGTGACTGTCCGCGGGAGGGGGCGGATGGTCCGGGGAGGGGTGACTGTTCGGGGCGAGGGGTATTATCCACGGGGATGCGGGTGCATTTGTCCGGGGGAGGGGTGACTGTCCAAGGGAGGGTGCGGTGGGGGGGGGGGCGACTGTTGTCCGGGGGAGGGGTGACTGTCCGGAAAAGGGGGGATTGTTCGGGGGAGGGGTGACTGTCCGGGGCAAGGGGCGATTGTCCGGGGAGGTGTGACTGTCCGGGGGAGGGGTGACTGTCCGGGGACGGGTGATTGTCCGGGGCGAGGGGTGATTGTCCGGGGAGGGGTGATTGTTTGGGGAGAGGAGGGATTGTCCGGGAAGGGGTGATTGTTTGGGGAGAGGGGGGATTGTCCGGAGGAGGGGTGATTGTCCGGGGAGCGGGGTAATTGTCTATATCGACCACCGTTTAGACAATCTTACATAACCTTCCCTACTTGCGGAGCACAATAGAGTGAAAAAGAAAGTATAATACTAAAAATGTGAGTTTTATCATTTAGGTTAGTATATTATAAGATGCATGGTTCAGAAAATGAAGAAAATTTCACAAACCAGGTTAACTGCATGGTACCTTAGGAAATTAATTTTAAAGTAATCAATTTAAATGTTATTTAATTAATTTTAATATCATAATTTGCTATTACAGTAAAACTCATAAGTTGTCATGGAAGTCTCATAGCAAATCCATTGGAATAGCCCCGCCTAAGTCGTCATTATGTGTAAGTCGACGCTCTCAGACAGGTCCCATGTAATACAAACAACAGTAATTTCCCATCTGTAAGTCGTCATCAGAAATGCCGATGGTGCAGTGTATGGTCTAGGAGATGTGCGAGCTGGCTGTCGCAGATATGCGCTTACAGGTCGAACCACCGATCGCCTGTAGATCGCGCAACTGAGTTAATTGTTGCTGTGTGCACTGATCGTTTCATTCGCATTGTTCGCCCGCAGTGTTTTTTTCAGCTTGCACATCCCCCAGATTCCCCAGTGTATGCAGCCCAATGCAGGGTGCGAGTCCGGAGTCAAATACTCCCTGATTTACTGTCGGACTGCCTGATTTGACATATGCAGGAGTCCGTGTAACTCCCTGAAAATTCTGCTATACTGTACTTGTGTACTAACTAGTTCGTTCCAGAGCACGGCCTCGCAGAATTACTGTATTTTTTCAGCAAGTGTTCCAAGAAAATTTGGCAGACGTGCACCGCAAATGTCCTGCAATGTCCAAACGTGTAATCAACAGCGGGTGTTACAGATAGCCAGCGTGTGCCGCGCTTGCCGCTAGTGCGTACGATGTACGTGCGTTATGGCCAGCAGCGGTGTCGATTGATGTCTCGACCCGATTGTTTCATGTCTGGACTCTGCTATGTATGTGGCACGAACTGACGTCGTGTGTGGAGCATGTTTATGACTGCGTAGGGGTGACGGGCGCCTGGGAGGGAAGCCCTACATATAAGCCGACAAAATGACGACTTATGCGTCGGCCCAAATATGCTGGTCCCAAAAGTGTCGACTTATGCGAGTTTTACTGTATTTAATTCAGGACACAGATCTATGCATGATACCTACAGGCGTTACAGCTGTTGAGTGAAAGTATGATGGTTTGGGAATCTCTGCATCATACTTCACCCAGCTCATTGTAGGCAGATGAAGTCTCCAGAGGTCTCCAAAAATCTGTTCTCCATCATAGCCTCCCGTCATGTACACATCTAAAATTAATCGAGAGACTGAGTTCATTAGATACAAAGTGCTTGATGAGACGGATATACCACATGGCTCGTTGTTTTACTACACTGTACAGTTTCATGTATTTTTTTGCAACATGTAAAACTTGACCTTTTGCGTACTTACCGTCTTTAATCTTCACACAGCTGTGACATCGTCTCGCCTGTGGGAAACCTGGACGTGAGACAAAATTACATGATAGTCACATGTTCCTGGGAAAGAATGCTGCGAGTACAATGCTCTCTGAATCTAGGAATGAGATCTGCACACCTGAGACTCTATAATATGAAGTGAGGTACGATGTGAAAGATTAATCATTGTGCCATGCTTTCTTACCATGTCTGCTATCTTTCACCGTGGGTAGCTCCTCCCAGTTCTGTTTTTGCAGGTCGAAAGCTGGCACCTAAAACATGCACGGTTACTGTCTCTTTACACCGACTATGTCATGAATAAATTGGAAAACTGCATAAGTGTAGACAAATTGGGTCTCACCTATTAGCAGACTTTTTACTGATTACTCCGGCACAACAATCGCCACAAATTTTTGCTGTTATAGGCTATAAAACAGCAGATGAACATCAAATGTGTGCCTGCTATCTTCAGACTCGCGATAATGGAATGTTCTAACGGTCCAACAAAACAAGGGGTACGTAGTTAGGTGATGCAAATATTTATAGACTATTAGACTTACTAACCTATCTCGAAATGTAACAAAGGTAACTTATCAAGTAGAGACAGCATTTTGGTCTCACGAGAGCAAAAATCATGCGATAGGTTTGTCGACATATGTAAACGATCTAATTTGAAATGCAGATCAGTGGAAAGCATGTTTCAGCCTCAGGTATCAGCTGAGTCTCTGTAGCAGCCTCAGGTATCAGCTGAGTCTCTGTAGCAGCCTCAGGTATCAGTTGAGTCTCTGTAGCAGCCTCAGGTATCAGCTGAGTCTCTGTAACAGCCTCAGGTATCAGCTGAGTCTCTGTAGCAGCCTCAGGTATCAGCTGAGTCTCTGTAGCAGCCTCAGGTATCAGCTGAGTCTCTGTAACAGCCTCAGGTATCAGCTGAGTCTCTATAACAGCCTCAGGTATCAGCTGAGTTTCTGTAGCAGCTTCAAGTATCAGCTGAGTCTCTGTAGCAGCTTCAAGTATCAACTGAGTCTCTATAACAGCCTCAGGTACCAGCTGAGTCTCTGTAGCAGCCTCAGGTATCAACTGAGTCCCTATAACAGTCTCGGGTAAAAGCTGAGAGTAGGTAATAGCCTCGGGTATCAGCTGAGTCTGAGTCTCTGTAACAGGTTACGGGGAATGCCGAGCTTAGCTAGTTCTACAGAGTCCATTCCACTGACAGCCGGGAAACATTGCAGTAGTCGGTTCCAGCTGACCTCCTCAAGGCGAGGCACGTTTAACCAGATAGAATAAACCTCAGAATGCCGCTCCTGATCGTCGATGTTGATCACGCCGCCAAACACGAGCATTTGACCCGCCTGCAATCACAACATGCAGAACGATATTCGCTAAGCACACAGTACGGGCAAAAGAAATAAAGAAGAATGGGAGGAAAGGATAGACAGATCGTGTCATGCTTGAAACAGTCAAACTTCAACATTTAACCCAACACGTTGACAGCTGATAGCGGAGAATATTGTAAAGATGTTAAGTTTCTGTGTATTTTGATTCATTGACTCATGCCACAGTATATAGCATGTCCGGTTCTAGGACAAATACACTTCTGGACAATCACCCCTGGGACAATTATGCCTATGCGAAGGCAATCATTACCGGGACCCACCAGACAGTCACCCTCCGGACAATACCCCTCCCCCAGACAATCACCCTCCGGACAATACCCCTCCCCCCAGACAATCACCCTCTGGACAACACCCCCTAACTTTTCTTTGTATTATACTGTTCTAACGGCATTGTTTTTAATTCAATTTTTTTTTTATCAAGCATGAATTTTCAGTGGGGGGAGGGGCACCTGGGGAGGCACAGAAAATGTGTGGGGGGGCACGCGCCCCCTCAGGCCCCCCCGTAGCTACGCCCCTGAACGTCGGCCCTGGATCAGTTAGTTTTGGCGACACGTCGGCGAGGTGCTGACGACCGAATCGCCATACATTAGCATAGTGCGGCAAACGTGGCGGGCAGTGCGACTACAACCTTATGACTATTGAAGTGACTGGTGAGTACAAACTCTCTAAAATTGCAACAGTATTATCGCAACAAAATAAGCTTTCATCCCTAAAACTACCACTATAATTTTCGTTTCGCTGTCAGCTGCTACTGCCACACGCCAATGTTCAGGGTTTTCACACCAAGTCACTCTTGGATAGCCGCCGTCTACTTGAAACGTGGAGATTCTGTGAAGCAACACTCATTCCGGATGGGACAGGGACATCTCTTCGTCCTATAGACGCAACTGCCAGACTTCTAACTGTTTGCAGGCTGAGGTCCAGGTTCGCGCATGCGCAGTATGTGCTGAAATGATTCGGATTTGTTGAAATCATGTTGATAGAGTCGGGGGCGTGTGGGTACAGTGTAGGTAGGTAGGTACAGTGTGGGTAGATGTAGTGTAACGTGACAATTCAGTATCGCTGGCTCTCACTTCAGCGGTAATTATAGGTGTCGCTTCGTGGCGAGAAGGACATCAACGACAGATGCATGCCGGACATAGGAAACACGGGAGCACTTATAGCTTCTGGTTGTTTCGCGTTTCAGTTGTGCTAACACTATTAACTATTGCACAATTGTAAAACCGTACACTCACGTAAAAATACGATATAAATGTGAACTAGAGGTAATGTTGTATTTACACATTCATGTTTGCAAACGGCTGGCTGGCTGGCATCACAGTTTTAATCAACGTTCTTTTCGTCTCACGAATCCAATCTTGAACACTTTGTCTCTACGAGTCAGTTGCTCAGAGGAAGACGGAATATCATTACAGGTGTGAAACCTGCTAAATCACGCTGTATTGCGGAGAGAGACCAAGTTGCCCCTAGGCAGGGTACTGCCACCCAATTCTGTACCGATCATATAAATATACATGTACAATACACACAATCAATATAAGCCTTTCAATCTATCCGTGAGTTCATCCCTCTGGGCCGTTCTCTGCCTGTCTGCGTTAACTAAGACACCGGCACCGGTACATTAGAATGTAAATTTTAACATGAATTTGTATATGTATATATATATATATATATAAAGATATATATACGTATATAAAATGTAACATGTGGAAGCGTTCACATGCACGAATCACAAGTAGCAGGTTATGAGGCAGCTTCAGTATCAGCTGAGTCTCTGTAGCAGCCTCAGGTATCAGCTGAGTCTCTGTAGCAGCTTCAGTATCAGCTGAGTCTCTGTAGCAGCCTCAGGTATCAGCTGAGTCTCTGTAGCAGCTTCAGTATCAGCTGAGTCTCTGTAGCAGCCTCAGGTATCA